GGTCCCACGTTGTCTCCAGTTTCTTCATTGTGTTTTGTGTGAGCTCCATCACAGAATGGGAACTAGGAAAAGAAAAAGATAATGTGAAATGTCCAATCGCAAAACCAGTATTGTTTGGCAGAATGTGGGTAAAGTTCAATTCACAAATGTAATTCTTAATATAAAATTGCATTTCCATTTATGACATTTGATTATGGATTTGAAAACCTTTTCCATGTTTATGTACTAGTTACATTTCCTTTTTAGTGAAGTAGCTAAGTCCACTGTCTGTTTATTTGTAAGCTCATACATTTAAAATCAATTTGTACATTATCCCTCTGTTGATCATCTTTGTAACAATTTTTTCCCCAAGCCTTTTTGTTTTGCTGATTTTTTCATACCCTTATTTTTTCCACTTTCATATAAATAGGTCAACATTTCCCTTCTTAATATCTTTTGTGGAGACTTTTTTTCTAGAGATGTGGTAGATTTCCATTCCTTTTCATGATTTCACGTTTTAGATATAACTGACATTTTGGTGTCCAGCGGGAGGTAAAGGGACAAAGCTAAAATTTTAACAGTGTTTCCTAGAGTGTGCTCCAAAGAAGTGCTGCAATATATTTTGATACGGTTTCATTCATTCTGTGTTTAAAAAACATACATAGCTGTTTGGATTCACAACATACATTATTTTTAAAAGGTTCTGCTATAAAAATATTATTTTAACCCCAAACCTTCCAACCTGACTGGACTATGGACACTTTTAACTTTAATATCTATTATCATGGTGTTAAGAGCACACTTTGCAAAATGCTGTTCTAGATCTTATTTCAATATTATCAGAGCCTGTTGCTTTCTAAATTGTTACGCCTTTCTTCATAATTTATCAAAATAAATTCTACATATAAAAATGCCTGTTTGTAAGTTCTACGAGTACGTTACTATATTCATCATAATAACTGTTTAAATATGCCTAAAATTGGGCTACTTTTCCTCCATATTATTCTTCTTTATTAAACCTTTAATATTTATTCTTTATCTAACTTTGTTAAACTTTACCTATTTAATCTTTCAGATAAACATGAGAATTTTTTTGCCACGTCCTATTTTATTTCTCTTATAGTTTTCATCTTCACATCTCAAACATATTCTGACAAGATTATTTCTGTGTTGTATGTTATACAGTTATTATAATTAGGTATATTTTCATACCAGAACCCTCCTTCCATATATATCATTGGTTTTTGCAAGTATAGCCTTCCTACTGTTAAATGATAAAAATAAGAATTCAACAATGTTTTAGGTGTAGCCTCAGGATTTTACACTTAGAAGTTCCACTTATCAGTACATTATTTTGTTTCCTTCTATATTTATAGCTTTTATTTCTATTTCATGTCAAACGGTGATAGCTAGCAGCTCTGTTTTATTTTTGATATCTGGAATGTACCCACACTCTAGAATTCAGTTTCATGTTTACTATAAAGTACACTGTTGCATTCGAGGAGCCAATTTAGAAGAGTAAAGTATAAGAGTCTTGGCCTTAACAGTAAAATCACTTCATTCCTCACAGTGAAGTGTGTAATTCAGATATCTGGAACTAGTCAATGATGGTATATTATCTTAAATTTGATATCAGAAGTGTCTATTCTAAGATTAAAATAATTTTGGTTACTGTTTGAGAAATTCAATTTTAATTTTATCATCTGTATATATTTTCTAAAAGCCAGTAAATTAGTTAAAAATTATGGAAAAACAGAAGGTATCAGCATATCTTATATTTCTGAGTATAAATTCTATCTTGGGATAGATGGCAATATAAATGCAATGTATATAAAGTTTACATATTTCTTCTTTTTTAGGTAAGATATGGTACTCAGTTTATTCATATTAAAATCAAGTCCTTGCAGCAAACACATGAACCCAAGCTTTCAGGGATTTTTTTTTTTTTTTGGCATAAAAAAATCCAACTAAAACGTATCCTACAGCAAAGTACAGCATTTCAAAGTGACATATGTTTAATAAACAAACACAGATGATTTTACAGTGAGAATAAAAGTTTACATTGTAAAAGACTCCATTTTTATAAATAGCCCACAAAAAACATGTCCCTGTAAAGTTTTATGCACACAGGTTATAAAACATATTTCTGTAAAATAAAATCTCTGTAAATTACAAAGCCTCAAATAACTTATTGATGCAGCATGTTTAGACTTTTATTTCTTTTTCAATCTCATGTTAAAAATACTAGAAAACTAACATTTTCTTAAATTATTTTCTTCTATATATAGAATGAAGAACAGGAGAGAAATCTATACAGAAATACACAAAGAAAATCTTATAAAAGATTAAGAAAGCCATACAACAAAAATGAGTATATACTTTTTATAATAATCTGGTTCTGCCTAGAAACTGAAATTTACATGTTTCATCATGTACTTAAAAGTAAACAAGTAAAAAATAAATATTTCTTTAAAAAGTGGTGAGTAGTAGATCCTGGCTATTTGCTAACAGACTTCCATGCTTTCAAAGTATATACAACTTTTATGCCTTTAAAATGTAAACTAGATATTAAAAATCATTTGTTCAGAGGCACAGATACCTTTTAATAGTACTTTCTATTATAACTTAACCATAAGAATTATTGACTTAAAAATTTCATGTGAAGAGTAAGTATTCTTATATTATATTTACGAATTAGGGATTAATCACTTTAAGTTATGAAATGACTAAATATTTTATTTTCAACCAAAAGCCAAAATGAGCTATTTCAAGATAAGAGTAACAATTTCTTAGAAATGCTTTGTACATGTCAATGGAATATATTTATTGAAATTACTTCATAATTCTTAACACAGTATAAATGAATGGATGGTAATTACTTGGGATTAAAATTGAAATATTAAATTACATAACAATGTTTTTCAGAAAGTGTCTTATTTTATTTTTAATCTCTTTATGAGGAAAGAAAATGAGTGAAAGATATATGCTTTCAAACATAATCTAGAGAGGGTGCCAAAAAAATGTATACACATTTTAAGAAAGGAAAAAACTGTATTAAAATTATGCTGATGGTAACCACTTTGAGCACCTCTTGTAATTGCAGAAGTCAAATGTGACTTGTATTCATCTTTTGTTATCGGTATATATTATTACAATTTTAATACAGTTTTTCCCTTTCTTAAAATGTGTATACTTTTTTTGGGGGGGCACCCTCTGTAGTTAGTATAGTTTTTATATTAAATAAATGTAATGAAAACATAAACATTTTATTAACCTTCTTTCATTTAAAAATTTTGAAATTTGTTAAATTGGTCAAACCAAGAGCTGAAATTAGAAAACAAGGGGCCTTTTTAATTCTGGTCATGTAGTTCTGATACTTAAAACTAAAAAGATCAAATAATTGATGAAAAAAAGTTTTAGCTTAGAGTTGATTATAAAATTTGTTCTAAGATGCCAGTCTTTGTTTATTAACACAACCTGGAGAAAAGTTTGTGAATTGGCTGAATTTCCTGTATGTCCAAAAAATACCCTATTATGTTTGTTAACCCAATTAAAAAACTATGAATCTCAAATATCTTTAAAACTAGGGAAGAGAGGGTTATGGAGAAGAGGTTGGAATTAATGTTTAGGAGGGGAAAAAACACCAGGATCCTTGTTCCACTAGGAAAACTAGCAACATTGTCAGGGTCTCCATAAAAAACACAAGCTCTGTTTCTTTTTAATGACCCCATATCTCAAGTTATGACGTTTCTGTATTCAAGAGAGAAATATATACAAACTCCTTCTTGACTTATCTCTTCTATCTATAACAACTGAAAACATTTTTGTCTTCCTTCTCCAAACTTTGTATTTTTAATGAGAGTTTGGATTATATTTCCCAAGGAAGTTGCCTGGGGCCATTGTGGCTCGTTACCATAAACAGCTCTGAGATAGGATTGCTCAAGTTGAGAAAGAAAAAAGCAATGGGATCTTTGAGACTTCCTGAGAGGATATGACATTTTATACCATTCTTAAGAACTTAACCTTAGTAACACGTAAGACAGTAGATACAGTAGGAAAACGTACAAGCAGAAATTAAGATTTTACAATTGTCCTTATGTTGGTGCATTGACTAACATTCAGAATATTGTTTCCATGAAAAAATGGACTCGGTGCAACCCACTTCCAAACCATTAATCGGATAGAGACTTTCTATAATACACACACACACACCCAAAAAAAACCCCAAAACATGTACACCATTAACAAAAAAACCCGACTCAATTTCTGAAATTGTAAATGAAAGAAAATGATTCTATATAGTATGTCCAGTTGCATTTCATTTCAATTTTAGCTGTGCTCCTGATGTTAACTGGCATGCCTTTCCTCTATTTCTTGTTTATTTCTTAGTCTGCATTCTTCTGGGGTCCTTGTTCAAATTCTCTCCTACCTCCCAGATGGCCACCACTGAACTCAGCAAATGATATAAAACCTGATGTGAGAGGGAGTCGGGAGAGGTGGGAATCTACAAAGACTATGTTGCATACTGTTCCCTCTTACATTAATGTTCCCTCATCTTTTTGTTTCCAAAGTAAGACTGTCTTTCTTCCTTTTAAGGCTGAGTTTCACATCTGTGCTCTTAGCCTCATTTCCTTCCACCCTCTTTGAAGACATCACTATCTCAAATAGTACCTTTCCCTGTAGTCACTTGAATCATTTCCTCTCTACTGGCTTTTTGTCTTCTCACTTCACATATGGATAGCCCTTTTGTGAAATAGAGGGTGCCAAAAAAATGTATACATATGTTAAGAAAGGAAAACTGTATTACAATTGTAATACTCAATGTATACCGATAACAAAAGATGAATACAAGTCACGTTTGACTTCAGCAATTATAAGAGGTGCTCATAGTGGTTACCATCAGCATTCAGACACTTCTGATTATGGTGAACTACTGCTTGAACAACGTTGACCCAAGTTTCCACTTGTACACATTTTTTTGGCACCCCCAGTATTATGAAACAGGTAAGTTTCTGAAACAGCAGAGGGCTTACCAATCCTGGGAGGAAAGCAGGAGGAATGAGGTGTGTTAAAAATGTAATTTCTGCACCTTACTAAGAGATCCGATTCATCAGGTAGGTCTGGGAAAATTGCTCATGTTAAATGCACACAACAAACCAGTGATTGATTGTACCTTAAGAATGAATTAGGATGAAACTCAAGTTTATGCTGCAAATAGCTTTTTCTTAAAATAGGTAAAAGAAGCATTTAAGTTTTATTATAACTTAAACTTTGTGTAAAGAAAAAAATTACTGAATATATACTATAGTTATCTAATGAAAGGTATTAATTATGAGTCTTCTGCACAATGATATGTAAGTGTGTGACTTGGCACCTATGTGATAACCTTAGGGACCCCAGAAAGTGGGGAGCTTCCAACACGCCTGAAGAATAAGAACATCCATTAACTTGAATATTCAAATTAAATGCTTATATTGACTCATGAGGGAATAAAAAGTACCCAAGATTCAGTGAAAATTCAAAACTGACAAATCCTACAAGCAAAGAGGATCACTAATGGCATCAAAGATAAACCAATTAAAAAAAGACATTGAGAAAATGGAAAATAAAATGACTGGTCCGGCATTCCTTTCCTTAAAGTCTACCTATGGGAAATGGTGATCCCTAGTTTAACCATCTGGAAACTCTAAATTTTATGATGCAAGAATCCTGGAATGTTTTGTTGAACTATAAAATCGAATAAACATTTAAATTACTAGCTTCTGTCCATTTGTGATTCTTTCTGAAATACTTGAGATCTTAGACCATGAAAGTCTGTATTTGCTTTTACTGACCCTTTACCCTCTGGGAAAACTCAAGCAAAGTAAACACCCTTTTCTTGACCTCAAAGCTAGGCTTTAGAGTTCACTAAAGCTGTTACCTTCTTTCTTTTTTCTTTCCATTCACTGTCACATTTACAGAAATTTTGTCATATACTTAGAATTCCAGCATTTCTTTATTAGTAATTCACACTGTAACCTACTTGGACACAGCTTCTATTCTAACTATTCTGTTGAAATAACACCAAAAGGTCAATTGACTAACTGTTTAATCCCAAAGTCTTACTATAATAGTCTATTCACCTAGTTGACTTTGCACAAGCTGGTGTTTACAACCAAATCTTTGAAATTGTCCCCCTTTCCACTGTGAAGCCATGATATGCTTAGTTTTCTTCTAACTCTGATCCATTTCATCTCCTTTTTTAGCTCTTACTCCTCTTTCCAAAATGCAAAAAATTCTCTAGGAGTTCATACTTAGCCCTTGATTTTTATCTGTATGAAGGATCTGTTGTTTGCATTCCTATGCTTGACTCATCATTTTGCTGATCTTTATTTCTAACCCTGTTGCCTCACTTTAGCACCACAGTTCAGATTGTCTGCTGTACATTTCCATTTAAATGTCACCTTTAATTCACTCTTTGAAATTGAACTCAACTCCTTATCACTGTCCTAGGAAATCAGCTTTTCACTCTGAATTCCTTATTTCTGTTAATGACAATCCTACAGGTTTAGAAATTTCAATGAGCTTTAGTTTTTCTCCCCCAATCTTCCACACAAATAGATCACTGCATTTGACTAATTTTTACCTCAAAATGTTTCATGTATCCGTTCATTGTTCTCCATTCCCACAGCTAGCATTTTGGTGGAAATATCAAAACTTTATTTCTGAAATCCCTGACAAGGAGCTCCCCCATGTCATACTGGTATACTCAAGACTCACCTCAATTTGGACTTATTCCTGGGGGGAAGGGGATGCAACAACCAGCCCAGTTTTTTCATTAAGCCCACCTTTGCTCATACGAATCCTTTCCAACAGATTTAAAGAAAGAGTCCCCAATATTTGCTAGTTTATGCAAATGTCACCAATCTTTCCAGCACAATTTAATTCCCATGTATATCACTGTTTTCCCAGGAAATTCTAGCCCACAGTGTAAGCTCCTTCTTTTATTTAAAGCACTTGTACTGCATCCACTATACACATCTATGATACCTGCTGTTTTACTATTTAACTTTTCTCATGCATGTATATATATAGTAGACACCCAATGAACCATTTAAAATCACTGACTCAAGAACTATTACAACTCTGACTTAGAAATTCCCTAATTTCTAAAGATATTACTTTCTATATTTTGGTGAGCAACAAGAGAATGAAACCTATTAGTATAGGCATAATTTTTAAAAACAAACATCTAGTCTATAGAATATTACTGAGAATTATTTTCCAGCAACCCCTCTAGTCCTTATGAACAATCCCACATTCCAAATGAACAGTATTCTTCTTAAGGTACAACTTGTAATGGCACTATTAATTCCATACGTTCATCAAGCATTTTTCAGATACAATGACATAATCTAAGCATAATGATATCGCTGAATTATATATCATCAATGCCCTGGGAAAAGGGGGTTAGTACAATATGCTTTCCAGTACCTACTATGTGACTTCTTCCTTATTTGTGATATTGGATATGTGATGATGCTCTGCTGTAGGAAGAGGTCCCTGACATAATGTGCTTTCAGAAACACATACATTATTTTTATTGTCTATTTTCTTAGGTCTTATAGTGTCATCTTTAGTGAAGTCCATTTTATTTAAATGCTAATAGTGGCAGAACATACAGTATTTTTGCCATATTTCTTACAATACACTGAAATTCTGAAGTCATTCAATGCATGAAGCTTTTTGAGATGACCTTCGGAGAGCATTTTACCATCTTTAGATCACTAGCTGTCATCACTGAAAAAAAGCTGCAGGTATCACAGATGACACTTCCAAATGGAGCTTGATGAAATGCAATTCTCATAAAAGAAAATAAAAAGTTAAAAATTCCTACGTTAGATATTTAACCATAGAGCCAGCAGCCTAAAGAAAGCATAGGAAACAGTCGATATGTTTGCCAGATAAGACATTTTCAAGGCTAATTTTCCAAAACTTTCTCTTGAAATTTTTAAAACTTGTCCTAAATCCAAGAGCTTGAAAAGTCAAGAAAAGAAAGGGCGCATAACTCTCTTTCCTGGGATAGTGGAGGCTAAGGTCCACTTGGGGAGGAAATCCTCAGAATAAAGGGATTTCTCTCTCGTTTGGTGAAGAATATGGTTACAGTCACGTGAACTCAATGAGAGTATGATTTCACTTTACAGCACAGTGGTTATACATGTTAGTAAATACCTTCCTGAAGAGCACATGGAAAACAGAGAACAGGATACATTAAAAAAAAAAAAGAAAAAGGGATATCTTAAAAAGTATCTGGTGATACAAGTTCAATAGAATAGTTTAAGAAGAAATGTCACTTTAAAGATGGTACTTAGTATAAATGGCTTGTTTTTCTCACCTTTTTGGACCTCCAGCAACGGCAGTACACAGCTTTATCTCCCAAATCCTCCATGTCAAAAGCATGTACCACCTTGGGGTTGTCTTTCTGGATGTGAAGGTTAACCATAGATTTGTTGCGATGATCTTTCACATAAAATCTTTTGTAAGCTAGATAACCAATTGCGGCTGTCCCAGCCGCAATGGTAACTGCTGCAATCCATTCAACTAAAGCAGGGAAGGAAAACAGGAATAATGATCAAAATCAAAATATAAGCTAATATCTAACATGACTGTTCAGGAGATCCAGTGTTTAGAGTATTAAGCATCCCAACAGGCAAAGGCATGTCATGTTAACAGAATGATCAGAATACACTGGTGCAATAATCTTCTGTTAAGATTTTCCCCAGCCCTTACTTAGGCAACTGTGTATTTTTTATTGACTAATGATAGCTAAATTAAGATACAAGAGGGAAACTTAAAAATTATTTTATAGATGGAGAAGAAAAAAAGACTTCATAATTTTTTAAAGTACTCATAAAAAGATTTGAAATACCCTGAACCTGCAGATATCTATTGCTTAAAAGAAAAAGATACATTAAAAAATTCAGATTATAATCAAGCCCCTCCCCACTCCCCAACCCCAAAATCAGGAGGTAATTATGTTAACAAAATGACTCACCAGAGTTCATTTAAATACTAGGTCCTTTAGTGGTTTTAAAATGCATAACTAGAAACAGAATTGGTATCCAAAGAAAAAACAAAAAAGGACAAATAAAACAAAACCACCCATAATATTAAACATTCAAAGGAATATATCCAGCAGGATTCTGGGCTTCAGTCATTCAAAAGTTTTAGTTTGTTTTGTTTTTAATTTCAAAGTGCCTTCTCATTAAAATAAAAATCAGAATATATTAATTTCATATTTCATAGAAAACATGAATATAATTACAGTGATAGTCTCATTTAATCAATTTTAAATTTCCATTATCCATCCGTGGATGATGACCTGAATGCCTACAAACTTCATTTTAAAAGTAATGACATTTTTCGGGTCGGCCGAGTGGCGCAATGGTTAAGAACTCGCTTGGGATGCCAGAGGGCCCCGGTTCGGATCCCACATATGAGGGCCAGTGACACTGCCCTCCACTGTTCCCATCCCCCAATTCCCAAAAAAAAAAAAAAAAAAAAAAAAAAAAAAAAGTAATGACATTTTTCTACTCATTATTTGCTTGATTAACATTGATTAACAGGCCATCTACTCTTTTCACATAGGTTTTCAAGGAGCCCTTAGAAACTCAAGCACTTAACAACTACTCCAGTTCCAGAGAACGTTTGAGAGAAGCGAGTCCTACATAGTCTGGTTAGCCTCAGCCTCAGAGGAGACTTGTCTATTCCCAGCATGGAGTGGACTGCAGGAAGAAGTTGAACAGGGGTCAGGATAAACATACTGGACTGCTTCCCAGTGCTTCCTGAGTCAGATCTTCACAGTGTTTGAAATAAGTTCCCAGACTATCAAATAAAGCCCTAGAGAGATAAGTACAAAAAACACATGCCAAGGCCAAATAAAAACATATAATGAATAATTAACTGTATGGCTTATTTGTACTAGTGAGTCGGATTTCTGATTGCACTAATATGATTAATTACCTGCCTAATAGTGCCTTACATAAAATTGGAGCTCATTCTTACAAAACTCTAAGGCTTTCGAAAGGAGCACCCACGCTCATACTTAGTTCCTTTTATCCTGGCGTTCTAGCTTATTTAATAATTTATTGTAGTTTTTATCAAATGTTTCTAATTAGCTTGTTCCTTGGAGTCTATTTTCAACCACAGTGTTTTTCTCTACAAAGTAATTTAGTTTGTTTTCCTTCCCGCAATACTTCCATTCCTCCTTGCTAGAATCCCCTAAAATAAACATTATGTCCTTCCCAGGTGCTGCTCCACTGAGAAAAGTTAGTAAGCCATTTGACAGCTTCAAACCTTTGGCTTCTTTAAGGGTGTTTTTTACTGCACATTTTGTGTAGATTTGTCTTGACTTTTAGCGCTGCTTCAGGATATTACCCTGTGGCACTTATAAGAAGGGCTGAAACTGTGCTCTGATTTCTAGCTTGATTCGCGATCTTTCTTGAAGCATTATTTACCATGGAACTCACTTGAAAAAAGATTCTCTACGTCAGGAGCTACAGCAATCCACTTCTTCGCTAATGGAAAACCACTCTGAATAGTTAATGTACCTATCACAAAAATGGGCTAAAATACTGCTTTGCATCGTATATGTTCAAATATGTTTGCTGAATATTATCTTTAGAATAAACTTAAAAGGGGGAACATCCCAAAAGGCTAAAATAATACAATTCCCTAAATGCTGTTGATCTCAGCTACACTTTAATTTTTAGGTGAATTATGAATTAATCTCTAACAGATTTGTTTTAATATGCCTACATATTACAAAAAAGCCTGCGATCCAAAGAACAACTGCAATTGGCTAATATTAATTTGTCTCACAATATAAAAAGAGGGTCCAGTTGTAATTTCTACCTGAAACTCATAATAGGTCAAAAGAATCTTTCTTAGCCATTAAAACATTCTTCTATTCTCTTTTCTCACATTACCAACTAAATCCATATGGTGACTTTTTTTTTTTTTTAAACATTTACCTCCACTGGATTTTTGGTTGGTGGAAGAAATGATAAAATAACTGACACAGAAAAGAGGAAAGAGCAAATGAAAGAAATGGGAACTGACTCTAGATATCACCCAAGAGTGGCTTCCCCATGGGTAATCAAAACATGCACTCTGTGACTCTACCACCTAATAAGGGTCACTTATAACCCTACATAAAGGTCACATACACATACGTGTGCTCAGAAAATGGCTTTGTATTTGCTCTAGTGAGTTTTTTTAGAATCACAGACCTAGAGAAGGTCTTAAAAATTTCCATTTCTTCTTTTTACCCCTTCTTATATATATTTGAATTCTCTAATCTCATTCTCTAATGTGAAAGTTTTACAAACGTAAAAGTTCCCAGAATAAGAAAAATGTTGCTGTAATCATTTCATTACTGCGGCCTGAATCAGCCTTTTCTGGCAAAAAGCTGTGGGTATCACCGGCAACGCTAGGGAAAAGAAAGAAAAGGAAAGTATATGAAGATAGACAAGAATGATGATGGATTCAAAAGTCAACACATAGAATAGGAAAAGAATTGAAAACCCGAGATAGTAAACAAAAACAATAAAATCCAAGTAACATTTAGCCCTTGGTAGTGCATATGCCTAGTAAGAATAGACATAATCTCTGAGGCAACAAGGGACTTTTTACCAAGACCCAATTTTAAAAGGTATTTCAGTTGACACCTTTTAGACACCTGAAACTGGGGTCCAGGAAAATCCTGGTCATCATTTCTGCCTGTTCTGGTTTATGCTCACTTCCCTTTTCTATAGCGATCTCTCAAGGTACAGTATTCCTAGAGTTAGATGAAAGCCCACATTATCCAACCTTGTTTAACAATGCTTTCTATCTACACAAATACCAAGAATAAGCCAATATAAAGAACAAAAATATAGAAAACACATTCCTACATAATCCCTTTCTTACTCTTCCCTTGGCCTACTACTGTATAATCTTTGGTTTTTCTCTCTTAGTATTATTCAGATACAGAGAAAACATGAACTTGTTCCCAAATCCTACACCTTGTTCATATTCCATTCCTCTGCTTTTCTCTAGTGTGGGAATTATTTTGCTTTAATTTACACGGAAATCTCACCCTCCTTCTTCTCCTTTAGCCCCTTTTCTGCCCCAGAGTGTCCCCTGCCCAGTGTCAACTGCCACGGAATCAGAATGTTCCTTTCATCTCAGGAGAGGGGGAGGGGAGCTGTGTTTAAATCTTTCCCTCCCTAGGTCTCCCCTAGATTGGCAGGCTGTGCCTGCTAATGTTTTCTACTCAAGGCCTGGCACACAGGTGACGTTCAATGTCAACTGAGTAAAAAGGAATAATGGATTACTAGTTTGAATTTGCAGATCCATCTGTCCATCCTACCATCACATTGCTCTTACACCAAATGCTTTAACTTTCGCCTCAAAGTGTGGAATTTAAATACTTCCTGAGATGAAAAAATAAAACTTTATTATGCAACATTTCAGACATACACAGGAAATGCTATAATGAACTCCCATTTACCCAGCTCTGAGAAGTATCAACTCACCGCCAGTCTTGTTTGATCTACATTCCCCAACCCTCCTCCATTATTTAGTGCTTAGAAAACATAGGAGCTATCTCCTTTAATCTGTTCAATCTGCACATTCCTTCTCAAAAAAAACCAAAACACCAAACCCTTAAACAGTCACTTTAAATGACTCAATGCACTTACTGAACCCAAACAGTATTTTCATATGTTGAGGTTAAACGAATTGGAAAATTATGATTTCGTTTCAATAAAACAGACAAAGATATAAAAGTCAGAGAATAAGAACTTAGGAAATTTAGTTTTGGTTACTGCAGTGCTCAGGATTTGCGACGGACAATAAAGGGCAAGGAAGGTAAAGATGAAAACCTATTCTGTAACTTAAGGGTAAATAAAGCAAAGCATGAAAAAAAAGTGATTTGAAGAGATAGCACATTGAGAAGCTGTTTTAAACATGTGGTTAAGTCGGTGTTTTTTAAAAGATGAGGGCGAATTATGAGTGACTTTGGGCTAAAGAGCAAACCCCTGGGAGTGAGAACTGAGAGCAACAGGCATCATTACTGAGGCAAGAAAGTGAGGAAGCAGGAGAAAATGACATCTCTCTTCTTTGTGAAGAGAAGAGATTAAGGATGAGAGCAGATTCAATGATTTTTGGGGGTGTCAAGGAGCAAAATGTTTAGTGAAACTTCCTGAAGGTCTTCTAATGAAGAGTCATTAGAGGGCCGGCCGAGTGGCGAGATGGTTAAGAACTGGCTTGGGACGCCAGAGGGCCCCGGTTCGGATCCCACATATGAGGGCCAGTGACACTGCCCTCTACAGCTAAGATGCTGAACAACAGCTCAACCTGGAGCTGGGCTGCTGTGAGTCACCGACGGCGTAGGCTGCAGCCCCTGTGGCAGTGGGTTGCCATGGGCTACCGTATGTAGCCAGCAGCCAGGGTGAGCAGCCAGCAGCTGCAGTGAGCAGCCAGCAGCTGCAGTGAGCGGCCGTGCAGAAGCCGGCGACTGATCTGCCTCGCCTGGGAAGAGTGCAATGATGGTGCCAACTTGGGCCAGTGAAGCAACATCCTCCACAACTAGACTGAAGAACAAAAGGACAGCAACTTGTCTGTTCCCCTTCCCCCAATTCCCCAGCACTGTTCCCATCCCCCCAATTCCCCAATAAAAATCTTAAAAAAAAAAAAAAGAGTCATTAGAGACTGTGCACTCCATAGTAATAAAAGCCACTTAATGTTTGAAACTATAATGAACTATAATAAAATACTTGGTATCAAATAAAAAATAAATTTGGGGGGTTACCAGTTAACTCAGTTGGTTAGAGTGTGGTGCTGATAACACCAAGGTTGCCGGTTTGATCCCCGCATGGGCCACTGTGAGCTGCGCCCTCCCTGAGAGTCAACTATGCCATTGTAGCATGAAAGCAATGTGTCACCAATGACCATGGCTGTTCCCAATAAAGTTTTTAAATAAATAAATAAATAAATTTGGTACATATGTCAATTATATCTCAATAAGGAAAAAAAGTTTGGTATCATAGACCAAACGCACATCAAGAGCCATGTCACTGACTGGGATCTTTTGATTTCAATTCCAATCACTCATCTTTACTGCTTCTTCAGTCCTGGTCCGATCCCCATTAACTTTATTTATAACCCATCTATTATTTTTCTTCTGAATATAAACAAGAATTCTGCATGCATACACACACCCTTTTAGTTTTTATCTAACCTATACTTATATAGTGCTGACCACTGTCAAATACCTTTGTAAGCCCTTTACAATTATTAACTTATTTGACAGAGAAGAGACATGGTCATCTTCCCCAAAATCATATGATCTAAATTGATTTTCAATCTCTAAAAACTCATAGGTTTGGTTTAAAAATTGAGAGTAGAATAACTTGAGATCTAAACATAATTTTTACAAAACACAAGGTGAATTCCCAAGACATTCTCTGTCCCTACCTTGCCAAGCCACTATATTTGAGAAAGACGATGCTAGTACAAAAGATTTACAAAGGCTTTGTGGGCCTCTCCCCATAGTCCTCACAACAAACTTTATGCTTGGAGGTGAAATAAAAAGTTGCTACTTCTCATAACAAAGTTGAATACTGCAAGTTTAAGCTAATAATCTTCGCTAAGCAATCTCTTGCCCCTTAGAAAATTGCAAGCTAACGGGAAAGTCACCTTTGGATTCCCCTGTGGTTAGGTTAAAAACAAAAACAAAAACAAAAAACAACAAATCTGTCTTGATTGCAAGAAAGATTAGCCTGCAGGTAGTATTAAGAAGTCCTAGAGTTCACCTTGCTCATATTTCAATAGTATGCTACCTAGAGTTTAGTGCCCATTTACACAAAAGGCTCCACATTTTAAAGACACATTTTGGAATTTTTCCACCCATATCACTCAAGTGTAAACTGTCTTCCTATAAAATTACCAGTGGCTCAAGTCACATGAATATCTTGCTTACACAATAATCATTCCTGAGAAAATATAGGTGTTTTTTTTAAAAAAAAAAAAACCCCAAAAACCCAAAAATCATTTCCTATTTTAAATGCACCAAGGTGCCTCTATTTAAAGGAGCCTCAAGAAGAGTATCCTATCCTTTGAAATAATTTTTGTAAATAATCACCTCCTATACATCTTATTAGTAACTTTAAAATGTCATGGGGTATCACCCTCACTCTGCCAGGTAACTTTTGGCAACAGAAGTGGAATTCTCCAATTTATAGGATCTATTACAAAATTAGGGCTTAAGTTAGTGGAGACCTTCCACAGAATATGGTACCCTAGACGCTTAATATTTACTAAATGAATCAATGGGGCTATTTTTAATTAACTTCTGGACAATCTCTTTACCTTTACTTAACTACCGTTATAGGTAACCAAACCTTGAGGTGTGTGTGGCGTTTTATACTGGGCAGCGATCACGTGTATTACGTAGCAGGTGCACAGTATTTTATTAATAATTATATCACCACTGAGAATTGTTATTAAGTGAAGCTCCACATTAACTGACTTCTAGAAAGTCTCTTAATTTTAATTGGACCTTCTACGAAGTAACGTTTCCAAACGTTAGGTACTAGCTAGCACAGGGAAGCAAGGCTGAAAAAAACAGAAGGCTCAAAGAGCTCGGTTTTCAATCTTCTCTTCTGGACTACTGCCACGGAGCGCCAGATGCCAGAGGCATAATAAAAAACTGGGAAAATTGAAGATCTCGGAATGGGTTTCTTCCCTTTAAAAAATTGTGCAAAACTAACATGTGATTAGTCATGCATCTCTTCTGGGTTGCAGGAAACCCACTTTGTGACTCCACGGTGATTTAAATGGAAGAAGGGGGAACAGGTTTTTTTGTTGTTTTTCCTTTCCCCTTTTCCAAGCCCTGTGTCTTAAGAATACAGAAGCGTCTCAAGGGAGAATAAGAAAAGCTAGCAGCGGGATCATTAGGTTTTACGGTTTGGCTAGTCTAGGGGAAATGTGATCCAGATCTGGGTAGATGCCAGCATGGCCCCCACGCCAATTATATCCGAGATACCACTAATCCACACCATTTTCCCAGTCCGGCCCACAGAGCCCGCAGGCAGGCCAAGAGCTTGCCCTTCTGCATCTCAAGGTTACAACAACCGCGGGCGCGCAGAGCAGCGCTAACAGCCCGGAGAGGAGCTGACGAAGCTGCTGCGCAGGCCGACAGTCTCACCCGCTCCCAGGCCCCACTTCACCTCGTACGCTGGAAGTCAGACTCATGGCGCCGTCGCTTGCAAGGCGTGTGCACAGGACACTGAACACAAACGGGCTAGCGCGGACAGACCGAGTCAAGGTGCCAAGAGCGTCTTAAGTACACCGACTCCAGGCTGTTACGGCGCAGGCGCCGCGGCAGTCCGTACGCACGTGTGTTAGCCGTCCTGATGCGGAGCATGCGCAGAGCGGCGTCTCGGGATTTAGGGAAGTCTACAGTCCGGATTTTGACAGCTGCAGGAGGTGGGAGGAGAGAGACCTAGAGAAGTAGCAACTGAGTTTGCGCAATCTTGAGGGGCGGGGTCCTGTAGTTCAGGGGCAGGGCCTTGGGAATGGAGAATCCAGTCCAGATTTTACGTCTCTCCCAGGTGTGTGGTTCTCTCCAGGCAGTGGACAGGTGTTGTTAGTAGGACGCTTGCCATAATCAGGTATCTAAAATCTTACCTAAAAATATCTTGTTCAGTCCGGCACCTGCAAGGCTAGGTCCAGCTTTCACATAAAATGCCAGTGGCAGACACAAGTCATGAATTGTAGAGTCCCATTCCAGAACCCCTCCTTGTTCCCGGTACACACCCCTTTCTTCTGCTTTGACCCAGTTAGTCAGATGTTGAGGACCTTGGAACTTGTACAGAGGGTCGAGTGGGAAAGAGAAAAAACCGGCTCATTTTTTCAAAAAATGTGCTCCCTTAAAAAAAAAAGAATTAAGATTATCTTTTACATTCTCAAATCAGTGTGGGTGCCAAAAATTTTTTATAGCAGCCGTTTAGGGGCACCAATTTGGGGAGAGGAGCTAGGATTAACTTGAAAGGTGTTTTGAAGGTGCATCTCCTAAGAAGCTGCCTGTTTTTATTCCTATCTTTTCTGTGTGGGTGGGAGTTGGAGGGAGCTGACTGTAGTTAAAGGGCAGCCTCCCAATCCACCCTTGGCAATGCAGCTGCCTCCTAACTCTCCTAACACGTGACTGACCGCTCCTCACCACTGCAAGCCCACGAAGACGACGGGAAGCGCTGAAATGCGCACTGAATGAATGAAGGCACAACAGTACTGGGGGTCTCGTAACGCTGGCCGGGGCATGGGGGTGTGAAGGACTGCGAGTGTGCTCGCCCCATCCGG